GGGCGCTGTGACACGAGTTTCGGTCGTGTCTCTGCACGCAGTGATGATGATGGCCGCAGCCGGCAGGAGTGGGTGGAGAAAAGGCTTCCTTTATGAACTCACAGGGGGAGCCAATCCTGATGCCCCTTTGGGATAGCAAAAGGATCTGTAGCAGGAACCTTGGAGTAGCAAGCTGAGAAGGCAGGGATGAGCAAAGTCCCAGAGTGGTAGGTGAAATATATCAGAGAGGTCCTGGCAGTGGAGGAGGTGAGTGGTTACAGTGCAGCAAAGAAACCTCAGAGAAGTGGCAGAGAAACAGTGGGGTATGGGCAGTGGCTGGCCCCAAACAGGGCCAGCAGAAACTCCCTTGGAGGGTGAAAGGGCTTGGAGATCCCAGAGGCACCCAAGGAGATGGTGACAGGTCCTTTGTTTAGTGAGGTCAGGGTGTTAATAAGGTCCCAGTGCATCGGCCACTCTTATGAGCAGAGCCCTGCTCATGATAGAAGGCAGCAGAGGACAGAACCCCACAGCGGTGGTGAATTCTTCCTACAGCAACTGCAGCCTCCTTCCCCTCTGAATGCTGAGAGACCAAGAAGGAATGCCTCCTAGCACCTGCCCCAGCCCCCTTTTCCCCACCCAAATTCTTTGGTATCTCTGCCCCTCCAAGAGAACCCTTCAGACAAGAGAAGTGCAGCCAGTGTCCTCTTCCTCTGAGGTTGGCAACTGCTTTTATCTCTCTTAAGTTCTCTTAAGTTATTATTGTCTCCTAGCAATACATATGGGGGAAAATTCCCTGAAAGAAAGAAGCAAGAGGAAGAATCCCAAACCCCAACATTTGTGTATATGTAGCACAGCCCAGGAACAGCAGTACAGATTAGACAATAATCCTGAGATTAACATTTGCCTTGCAGAGGCTGCCTGCTCAAGAGAAGGGTTTGTGGTAACAGACATTTGTTCTAAGACAGGAAGATTAAAAAAAAAATAAATAAACTCACAATACCTAAAAAATACATTCAAAACCCTCAAAGGAATAGTTAATAATTAAACAAAAAGTTGAATGTTTAAAGAGTGAAATATTTTTCTTGTGGTCACTCATGTCTTATACTGTGGCATCAAGACTCATGCTGATTGCCCTGTGTCACCTTGCACATGAAGTGAGCCCTGAGCAGACTAGCTAAATCTTGTGTCAGTCGTCTGTGAGAGCCACCTGAATGGCCTTGTCCACAGAAACCTCTGCTGCTCTGAAAGGAGAAGACTTTTTGGATGAAAGTGCCACTTCTGCTGTTCCTGCAGTGCTGACAGCCATCCTGGTAGTGTGTCATTGTGGCTGTTGACAGCCTGCTTTATGGTTCCTTCACATGCTTTATGCCTTTTCCCAAGCCACAAAGTGATATACACTCAGTAAGGAGGCAGAAGTGATAAAAGGAAACTAACATGGTGACATAATCCAGTAGAAAAGTCCAGATTCTTCTCTACTCACTCCTTTCCAGCATTTCCACATCCCAAGTTACCATTGGAACAGCTGAGTAGGGTAGGATTCCTTCATTGTGCCAAGTATTTTTGCCAAACTGTATCCAAAAGTCACTTTCCTCTTGTGCCACAAGGCACATTTCCATATATTAAAAAAAATACATATACCTGACATTCTCCAGGCAAATGTAGGGTTCATTAACATCAGTTGCAGACTCTCAGACTGAGTAAAGCCCTTGGGCCAAATGGTGGAAATACTGAGCAAAAATACACATGGTTGTAATCCATGTGTGCCTGCACCATCTGTTTGCTTGTTTTCCCAGAAAATCACAAGTCTGATGCTTCATCCCACTTCACTGCCTGATTTAAATTAGTAACCTTTGGAAAACCCCAGCTATGCTTTATGCAAAGCTTAGGTAAGATTAGTTACTTCACTCAGAGTCCAATTTATTTAGCAATTAGGAAAAATTAGACAGTAACTGAGTTTGCTGTTTTGAAATGAAGGGCCTGAGTCCTCAGGTCTGCTCCCAGGCTAAATGCTGGGTTTAGTACTTCATGATTTCAAAGTCTCCAAACAAGTACTTTACACTGCAATTATTTTTGCATCATTCAGCCTCCAAATAACCTTCCTATTCAACTTGTGAGCATACTAATGATCAAAACAAATAAACAGGAATGTGAATCTTTGTCATGATTTGATGCTGGCCAAATTCCAGACACCCACGAACATCACTCACTCAGCCTCCCCTGCCTAAGCTAGGCAGACAAAAGAGAAAAGTTTAATGAAGGCTTCATGAATTGAGATAAGGACTGGGAGAAAACACTCCAAGGGCAAAACAGGATCAGCCGAGAGATACAAAGCGAATTTATTACTTACAAAATCACAGGAAGATAATGAGAAGCAAAATAAGCCCTTAAAACCATATTTTCTTTCCCCAACCCCTCACTTCTTCACACTGACAATGCAGGGAGAAAGGGCAGTTTGTCAGTTTGGTCAGTTTGTCACCCAAGATTTTCTTCTGCTGCTCCAGAAGAGGAGTCCTTTCTCTGTGAGACCGTGAGGTCCCTCCCACAGGAGACACATCTCCACAAACCTCTCTGATATGGGCCCAATCTCACAAGCAGCAGCCCTCCCAAAACTGCTCCAACATGATTCTCCTCCCACGGGGCACAGTACTCCAAGAACAGGCTGCTCCAACCAGGGAGCAGGGCCCTCGCCCTCCACTGGGTCTCCCACTGGATCACAGCCTCCTCCAATCACCCACCTGTTCTGGCATGGGCACCTCCCCCATTTATTGTGGGTGGATTTTTGCATCCCCCATGGATCCCCATGGCCTGTGGGTGGATCTCTGCATCCCCCATGGATCCCCATAGGCTGTGGGTGGATCTCTGAATCCTCCAGAGATCCCTGTGGGCTGCAGGGGCACAGCTGCCTCACCATGGCCTTCATCATGTTTTACCATGGTGTCACCACAGCCTGCAGAGGAATCTTGGCTCTGGCATCTGGAGCAGCACCTCCTCCCCCTCCTTCTCCACTGACCTTGGTGTCTCCATGTTGTTTCCTTCACATATTCTCAGAGGAAGCTCCTCCTCTTCTCTGGCTAGGAAAAAACAAAAAAAAACCCTATGTCTCCCATTGCTTTGATTTTCTTAAATCTGTTATCACAGAGCCGTTACAATCATCTCTATTTGGCCCAGCCTTGGACAGCAGCATGTCCATCTTCAGAGCCATCAGGGATTGGCTCTGCTGGACATGGTGGAAGCTTCCAGCAGCTTCTCACAGAAGCCACCTCTGTGGCCCCCCCCTGCTACTAAAAACCAGACCATAGAAAACCAACACAGTATTTTCCATTATAGTTTTCAGTAGCAACTTTTTTTTTCTCAGCCTGAATGTATCACACTGGTAACACTGGTCCCAGGAAATGCCTTGTGATGCTGTATTGATTTTGTGACACCATTGGGGAATCATCAATTAATGTTATTAAGGAGAAACCTTGTCCTCTGCAGAAATCGTACACCCAAATCATATGCATACACTTGCTGCATTTACCCCATGGCTTTAGACCCCTTAGACTACCATACTAGCCCTTGTTGCAGTGGGGCAGGGTGCTGGGACAGTCATTGAGGCTCTAGACACACCCCGAACTTCCACTCTGCCCAAGAGCAGTTCCAGCACCACTGGTTTTGTTCTCTATTCAGTGACTCCCAGTCAACAGCTACAAAGCACTGCCTTGCACAGCACATGTAAATCACATTGGTTCACAATGCTAGTGGTGTTCTCTGAGAAACAACTTGATACATATAGCACAATTCCTTGGAGCACAGGAGATGAACTAGTGCTGTACAGAAGCTCTCACTGAGCACGCAGTGCACATCTGGAGTTATCAAGGTTCTGATGCCAACTTGCTTTGAGTCAATTGGGAGAGAGAGTTCTGCAGCAGATGAGGTTTTGGCCTAAAGGAATATAAATATCTGGATATCATATTTCTTGATTAGCTCACTAGATAACTTCATGTGAAACAGCTGAATGAAGTCTTAAAGAGATCACGAACATTCTGAATGCAAAGCTCCCTTTAGCATATCAGCTTTTCTTCAGGGGCATTTAAGGTTTATGTGGCCCATTTTAGGGATCATTTTAATGTGGCTCTGATGTACACAGTTTCCTTTGCCTCTTTCTTCATACTTACTATATTTACATTTTTTTGTGACAGAATTTAACAGGTGGACTGGATCTGATTTCCTCATTGTTCATCTGGTTGCACCCTTTCAGGACATTAAAAATCCCTTAGTGTATTTTCAAATTTTAAACTGGCTGTTCAAAATAAAACCAAGCAAAGTATTTGTTGTGAAATTCTTAATGCTCTCTGCTATCTGCAGACATTGGGGACTTACCAATCTTCTTCAAGTTTTCTGAAAGGAATGCCACAGTAGTGGCTCTTTTACCCCAGACATGTTTTATATTCACAGGTTTCTTTCCTTACCTTATTTTTCCAGAGCTAAGTGTCCACTAGCTCACAAGAGCCTTGTGAATGTGCATCGGGACACACAGTCTAAGTTTTCTGCAAACCTCCTACACCCTTCATGACCTTTGACAGCCTCTGATGGTCTCATCTGCTGGGGACTGTGTAATGTGTCCCCAAGGTGTCTATGCAGGTAAGTGAAAATGTCAGCTAAGTGAACAAGTTTGGAGGTGAAGAAGACAGGTGATGTGCCACACATTTCCTTTCCTTCTGGAGACCTGGAAAGCAAAAGAACTGCTCCCTCAAGTGTGAGTGCTTTAGAGCAGTGAGGAGACAGCATTAGCAAAGGACACCAAGTCTTTAAGGATTCACTGCCACTTTTCTGCTCTTTCCTTCCCTGAGAGGGCAAGGAAAGCTGTCATGAGTCCTCTGATTTATGGCTATTCACTGTGTGTCTCTCCTGCTGGAGCTACTGCAGCTGCACTCCAAAACACAATAGCCAGAGAGAGACACAAAGAGAAAGGCATATCACCCTCCTTCCTCCCCCTACTTTCCAGGGGGAGGTTTGTATTTTGTTTCTGTGGGACAGCATGTGCAGGCTGCTGCTGCCTAGCACAGGCAAAACCCAAAGAGCAAGGGCAGACAGGGATTTATATGTCCCATGCTCAGGCTTGCTAACAATGACACTCTGCCGATTCCATTCCTGCATTCAGGGGGTTTAAAGCAGAGGAACCCCAAAAGGGCTGTGGTCTATTGTCTTCAGATCGTGCTGCCTCTTTAAAATCAGAAATGCGCGGACAGCTTCAAGGTGCCTCCCACTGAGCAAAGGCTTTGGATGCCGGCACAGAGGCAGAGGAGCCATCCTCCCCTGAGCACAGGGATAACCTAATGGGAGAGAAAGCAGCACTCAGCGGAGTCCTTGCACTACTTCCAGTGATCCTTTCTCTCCTCCAGTAACAGCAGCACGTGCAGAGGAGAAACCTGGCGGCTCTCTCACCAGAGAAGAAACCTGGCTCTCTCTCAGGTTGCCTGAGACCTCCAAGATGATGAGCACAACTGCAGGTACCCTTTGCTGATAGTGTTATGTCAGTTTGTAGATGGTTGTGTTGTCTGCATTTATTTTACAGATCTTTTGGTATTTAGCAGTGAAACCTGACACAGATACTGCCCCTTGCTTTGGCCAATGGATTTTGCATCCAAGAGTTTATTTAGCACTTCTCTTAAATGAATGTTTACCTTTCCAGGCAGCTGTGGAGGTGTCTCCTGAAGCAGTCCCTTGTCAGAACTGTTTCATTTCAGGCTTTGGCTTTTTGTTATTCTGTTCTGCAATGCTCAGTTTAAAAAACAATGTCGTGACCAAAGCTGTAAAACAGAGTTTCTGACAGATATTTTTTAAGTGACGGTACATCAGGGTCTGAGGGTGGTTCCAGGGAAAGAAGGGAGCAACAGCTCCACTATGCAGATTACCCTTTGTAGCCTTTGTGAATGCTATTGTTCAGTAGCATTTGACACCCCGAGGACTTACTGCTTCAGGGCAGAAGAAGCAGTAATGCTCCCTGATCCTCTGCTCGGATGAGGTGAGACTGTCCTGGCAGCTAGGAGTCTGGTGTGAAGATTCCTGGATAGACCATGAGAAGATACAAGAAGATGGCCTCTCAGCATTTTGATGCAGAGAGGCAAAAAATAAGGAGTAGATTAAATGGGTTTTTCCCCTCTGTGTGGGAATTTTATATTTTTTTTTATACGTGGTACAACTGGCAGTACAAAGAGGGGAGCCTGTTCCTCCCCAGCATCAAAAATGCAAGGTACTCTGTCTTGCTTACAGAAGATTTTATCTTTCACCTTTCACTCTCTGTGGAAACACTTTCCCTGTGAATGGCAGATTTGCCTTTACAGCTAAGCTCTACAAGTTCATGAGACAAAATTGTTGTCTTTGCAAATTGGCAGAGTTCTGTCAAACCTGTTTGACAGAAGTGATAATGGATTATGCTGGTGGAAAAATTTTGTCCTGTACTCAATTAATGGTTGCCAAAAGGGAAGTGCTGGATTTGGTATTTTCTTGGGACTTTGCAACTCTTACTTCAACTCTTACTCTACTTAAGAAATGTATTTAGAAGCAAGAACATCAGTTCTCTTCTCACTGTCCTCTACCACATCCCTGTGAAACAACCAGAATAAAGCATAAACTTTGTCCAAAAGGCACATCAAATGCTTTACAGAACACTGAGTTGTCACTTTAGTGTCTTTTACCTTGCACGATGATGACAGCACCATGGGCTTGCGGGCTGGTAGAGTTTTAAACTTGATTTTACATTCCTCCTAGACTGTCATTTCACTGCCTGGTGAAAATTTCATTGTTGGTAAATAAAACGGTAACTGTTGTAACAAACAGTGCATGAAGCAACTAGAAGCATTTATTTTGTGAGAACAGAAGCATTCCTTCACAGGGTATTTCTTCCTTCTGTGCACATGCAGCAACAGATCTGTGGGGCAATGAGATGGCTATTGCTTTCCTTCAAGATGAGTACTTTTGCTGTCATTTCCTTTCAGGAAACATTTTCCTCTTTTTGTTTCCACAGAAGGAGATAAGTGAGGCTGTTGTCCTATAATCTTCTGGGGACAAAGACAAGGTTACTCACTGCTCAAAAGGAAGCTTTGGGTGAGGTCTCTCACCTGCCGATCTTGTGCCCTGCCACACTGGGCTAACAACACTGAGGGCCAGCCAAGCTGCACATGCCAAAAGACGACAGAGATGGCCATGGAGCAAACTGAACGCAACCTAAATGCTACCGCCCACCTCAATTTTGCTTCAATCTACAACATCCATAATGGGGATTTCACCTCTTTGAGAAACTTCTCTTTCCCTTTCAATTTCACCTACAGTGATTATGACCTGCCACTGGACAGTGAAGATGACATGACCAAAACCCGCACCTTCTTCACAGCCAAGATTGTTATTGGGGTTGCTCTGGTTGGCATCATGCTGGTTTGTGGCATTGGCAACTTCATCTTCATTGCTGCTCTCGCCCGCTACAAGAAGCTGCGAAACCTCACCAACCTGCTGATTGCCAACCTGGCCATCTCAGACTTCATCGTGGCTATTGTGTGCTGCCCCTTTGAGATGGACTACTACGTGGTGCAGCAGCTGTCCTGGGAGCACGGCCATGTCCTCTGTGCCTCAGTCAACTACCTACGAACTGCCTCCCTCTTTGTTTCGACCAATGCTCTCCTGGCTATAGCTGTTGACAGGTAAGTGGGATGCTATGACTGCACAAAGATGTAGCCACAGCTTCCAAAGTTCTAAACCATGTCCTCAAGTGTCACATCCACATTTTTTGTGAACTTTTCCATGGATAGAATGTTTCGATGCCTGACCACTCTTTCAGTGAAAAATTTTTTTCTAATTGTGTAGCAGTCCTGAGACACTGCCTGCCTTTTACTCCAGGAATTTTAACAATTTAATTTAATTGTATCCTTTCTCAAGACTCTTCTCTGAGCCTCGTGCACCACGGACTCTGACAGACCAAGACCATGAGCATAAGTCTGGTGCTGACCTAAGTCTGACATGACTGACTCACAGAAAGCCAGAGGCTGGCTCAGTAAACTCTTTACAGAAAGGCCATCATCACAAGATCTCTTTCATATTCAAACACAATACACATCTCTGTAGACCCTATGCACATACATATATGATTCCCACTCTTCCTTCCTCTTCTTTTCCCCAACTTCTCTCATGTGCCATTTCAAACTTTAGTGAAGTGTTGCAGTTTTCAGTCCCTGATGCAAAAGTCAGCTCAGGAATAGTTAGCCCTGCTGAGGGCTGTACAGAATACAGCTTGTGTATGGCTGATTCAGCTGTTCCTGATATGAATGGAAGTCTGTGAAGAGACTATGGAGAAGTTCAGAGGTGTTTTCCTTGGTGTGGGCAAGGGGACGATCAGCTCCTACAAAACAAATCCTTAACAAGCATCTAACAGAGCAGGCTTTCAACAGCAGCTGAGGACTCAGGGTAAAGCTTCTAAACACTATCATGTATGCATTACCATTTTCTATCAGTTTTTCAGCTTCTACAAGGTTTCCTTTGAAAGCTCTGCCAGTGCATCCCAGGCTGATGAAGTAACGGGTCATGGCGCCCTTATGTCTGCCAAGAAATCAGATTTATAGCATATCTTCCCACAGATCTTTAAAAACAAGCCCGATTAATAAGATTAATCACTGAAGCTTGTTGTAAGAACACCATGTTTTGGTTTTATGGCTTTTCTTTTTTTTTTTTTTCTTTTTTTTTTTTTTTGCAAGCTATTGGTTTGGTAAACAGAGAGAAACCCCTTTGTTTAACAATCACCTATTCCATGTTATGTCATGTGGATTGTTGACTTCTGTCTCTAAAAAGAACAGGCTCCTAACATAGGTCTTCCCATGTTTAGATCTTTTAAAAGGAATCAGCTGTGTAAAGTGAGTAAGCCTGTCCCACTGCGGACTTACTTTAGGGAGGGCTCTCTTTCTTCTTCGTCCATGTCTATTCACATGAATAAACAGAATTTCACATTTTTAAGGCCACACCTACACTGGAAAAAATGCAACATTTGAAGAGGAAGAGTGCGTGGTAAGGGTCTAATATCCACACTGCAAATATTTAGCTTGGTCCCCTGGACCAAACACCCATAGGCATTTAGTGTGTTTTATGTAGGAGCACAACTTCCAGGATGGTTTCATCTGAATTCAGTTTGTGAACTGCAGAACCACTGCACAGTAACAGCCATGGTAAGCAATGACAATCAGGAAATCCACCACAAAAGCTTCCTCCAGAATCTATTGGACAGATCGATCCCATCCAGCCAAATGTTCTGCTGAGCAGATATGCACTTTTATGAATACATACACATACATTATGCCACAGCTTACTTCCCGAGGACCTGACATAAAAATGTTAACCTTCTGCTCCACAATGAGGCTGACTCATTTTGCTGTCCCCTGACATTTACCCTGCACTATTAAGAGCCATGAACAATTTATCTGCTTCCAATAACTGGCTGATGAAAAGTGCTGCTGACTTTCCATTTTACTTCAGAATAACTATATCTTATGGATGCTATTCTATATATTGAATGTATACAGATGTAACAGACTCCAAAGGAATGAGAAATTCTACTTTTTGAAACAATACTTTGGGTTAAACACAGTTGTACTGGGATCTCTGATAAAAATCTCCTCCTAGCAGGAATACTACAACCTTGCAGCTTTACAGCAGTGCAAATATCTAACTCAAGTTTTCTGCTTTGCCATATTACTTAATACTGCATATTTAAGATGATTAAGCAATGGTCATCTCCAGAATACACACAAAAAGGGTTTGCATGGGCAGAAAATAGATACACATCTATTAAAATCATGTTCACCTGTAACCATACATTAGCATCACCTTCAGGTCTTTGCACCCCACAGAATAACCACAGAAATAAGAAAAACACTGTAATGTATATTTCACCTCTTTGTAAAAAGAGCTATTTAAGTAGCTCTCTGCCTAGGGAAAACATTTTCCTGATTCTACATGTCTGTGTTTTCTTCCTTGGACCTGACTAGATGTTTAATACTGCATTTTTCTAACTCTTACTCCTGTTTAAAAGGAAAAGTTGTGATACAAAATTGTAACTCAGCTCCAGGCTGCTACTTCACAACATGTTCTTACAGATGATTATGTCCTTACAGATGAGTATGTTCAGGCTCTCCCCTCAGGAATGACAGCAATTTCCTCCTGTCCAATTCTGTTTGCTTGTATTTTGAAGTGTGTTCTGACCAGTGTTTTCAGACTTCATTTTGAATATATTTTTCTGTTCTAGGTATTTGGCCATTGTTCACCCACTGAAACCACGCATGAATTATCAAACAGCAACCGTCCTCATTGCCTTGGTCTGGGTCATCTCCATACTTCTAGCAATTCCATCTGCATACTATGCTACTGAAACTGTGTTGTTTATAGTTAAAAACCAGAAGAAATTTTTCTGTGGCCAAATTTGGCCAGTTGACCAGCAGATGTACTATAAATCATACTTTCTCTTCATCTTTGGCATTGAATTTGTAGCACCTGTGATTACAATGACCTTGTGTTATGCCAGGATCTCTCAGGAGCTTTGGTTTAAAACTGTCCCAGGATTTCAGACAAAACAAATCAGAAAGAGGCTTCAGTGCAGAAGGAAAACTGTTATGGTACTAATGTGCATTCTCACTGCCTATGTTCTCTGCTGGGCACCTTTCTATGGTTTCACAATTGTCCGGGACTTCTTCCCCACCCTTTTGGTGAAAGAGAAGCATTATCTCACTGCCTTTTACATAGTCAGGTGCATCGCCATGAGTAACAGCATGATAAACACCATGTGTTTCGTAACCGTGAAAAACAACACTATGAAGTACTTCAAGAAGATCATGCTACTCAGATGGAGGTCAACGTATAAGGGAAGCAAATCTAGCATAGATTTGGACCTGAGAACAAGTGCAATCACAGAGGAAGTAGACTGCATAAAATTACAATAATTTTTCTGAGGTTCTAATCTCAGCTTTTTTGGAGAGGGGGCAAAGAGGAAATAATACCTTGTCAGAAGCTTCTTCCTTGTCTGTGGGAATACCCTCTCACTGGTGAGAGCCCTCAAAAAAGCAGCCTGCTTTGCATTCCCACCAGAATTCTTCTCACTGTACTGCTGGATAATCCTTACGCTTGAAAAGATGCTGTGCTTCAGTTCATACATCTGTCAATTTGGGATGTAGACACTAATTTTATAGTTGTTTAATAAGAACAAAGAAATCTATGAATACAATGGTGGAAAAGTTGAGTGCTGACCCTAGCAGTGATGCCTCTCTGTTTCTTAAGAGAAACCTCTTAACACCTTTGAGCTTATGACTTGTACCTTTAAGCTATTTAGTGTCCTTTTCTTTCTGCTCAGAAGAGAAAGGACTCCTAGAAAGCCCATTTTGCTTCCAGTCACTTTTTAACCTCTCCGTTTACCTTTCCTGATGAATCTTCTTGAAGTCTATAGACCACCAGCTTTCTATTGTCATTGGACAATATGCACAGCATGCTCTTATGAAAGGCACATGCTCTGAAAGCTAAAATCCGCTTCACAGTCAAGTGAAAACCTCAAGTTTCTTCCTGTCACACCCTGTTTAAGAATGCTTTATCAATACTCCACTTTTTAGTTTTATGGAGAGTTTTAACTTTGTTATGCATTTGGAAATGCCACAGATATATATGAAAAGGATCTACTCCCTCATCTCCAGGCACCCTGTGGCCAGCTTCTGCTACCTTGAGATGCTGAGCTCCTCACAGAATCAATCACAAAATTGTAGAACTTGAGAATAATATCTCCACATTGTCTAGCCCATCCCTCTGCCCATGTTAGCCAGGATTGTGTCCAGCTAGGCTTTGACTGACTCCAGGGAATGCTGACAGTCTCCATGGATCACCAGTGTCAGTGTTCAACAGCTCTCACTCAGTGAAAAAGTGTTTTCTTATGTTCAGATGGAGTTTCATGTGTTTTACCTTGCTTGTCAGCGGGATCCATATAAACCTACATCATGGTGGTGGGAAAAATCCAACCAGACATCTTACCAAGTCTGTGTGCACCTTCACGATAAAGGATAAGCAACACCAAAATATCTAGGAGATCCTGAGATGATCCATCCATCTTTCTGGGAGCAAGACAAGCTTAGGCTTCAGTGAGCCAGCCTCTGGTCGAGTTGCGAAGCTTATTGTCTGCTCAGATATGACGCAACTCCAGATGAATTCTGCTTTTCTTTCTGCAGTGCTACTTTTACTGTTCTGATTTAGTGAAACTCCAGTATGAATGTTTCTTAAATGATAATTGTGACAAAGCACGTGACAGTAATACATACTCATTTCAACTACACATAAGATATAATGGACTTCTGTGTATGGTAATAAAATCTTTTCTGTTGTGATGACAAATGTGCATGTGGTTGTGCCTTACTTTTGGAGTAAGTTGTTTTGGTAAATAACTTGTCTATTTGTGAATTTGAAGTGAGCAGCAAATCCTGCAAATAAAACATGACCTCAGTATAAGCATTCTGAATTATTTTTTGTCTTCTCTTAGCCATCACTTTCTTACCCAAATGATTAATGTGAATGATCCCATTGCTGAAGAAAAATTGACCAATTAAATTTAAGGGCAAAAGGATGTTAAAATCCATTAAAATGCTCAAAGCCTCTCATCATTAGCTGCTCTTAAATATATGTTGAAGAGTATTTAATAATTTGCTGTTAGGCAAAACAATGACTGAAATCATCCTTCAAAATGTCAGTTTTGAACAGGGGTAAGTACTAAATTCATTTGTTTTCCAGCCTGCCACAGAAATTTAAAGGACCAGAGAGCTGAAGTATTTCACTATCAAAAGGCTTAATCTTGTAATCTCACCTGAAATCTCATGGTTTCTTCTGAAACCTGCCCTAGTTGTAAGGGATTAGCTAGCATTATTGCCTGTTATTAGAATGTGTGACACTCCTTCCACCTGTTTTCCCTACATGGTTTTGGTGCAACAAATTCAACTGACAATTTCCACACCAGGGAAATCTATCTAAGGCCGAGTTAATTAAAAAAAAAAACAAAACAAAAACAATTTCTGCCAAGAAATATAGTACTGAACAAAATCTGGGGCAAAGAATTGCTTTAAGACACTGGAAATCACCCTGAGAGCTCCAAGAGAGCTCTTATGGTCTGGCCTAACCACTGTTCTCATTCCTGTGAATTAGGGTACTAAAGCAGCATCCTCCACAGCCCCTGCTGAGGGTTTAGGTTTTGGGACTGTTGTATTTTTGACATTTTGAGGTCCTCCAAGCAGCAAAGCACTGTTGCTGCCTGAACCTCTGGATAGAGCAGAAGTCATGCTTTGCCCTCAACTGCATTTGTTGTGAGCTGCATCCAGAGAGAGAGGGGGACTCCCAGCGAGGAAGGGTGACAGTTCTGTTCTCTGGTCCAAAAACGAAGCAGTCACATTACCCTTAGCCTGTGTTGGCACCAAGTCCAAAGAGCCCAAAACAGGGCACTTTCAGGGACAGTATTTGCTCCCAAACTGAGATCCAGCAAGCAGAGGCCCAGGGCTTTGCAGGGGGACCAAAAGTCACTTAAAAACTATTGTGAAAACTCCTGAAGTGTGAAGGCAGTGGGAACAGGCTGTGACCCAAGTGGCACCCTCAGGCAGGGGAGAGCAGGTAGGGAAGGGTCTGAGAGAGGACCAGACCTCACATTCCCTAGGGCTTATGTGAGCTGTGCAGGGAAGAAAAGAACAAAACACCTTTTTTGTACCCTCAGAACTTACTAAAGGACAACATTTAGAGAGGGAATTGAATATGGACTGCACCTACTTGGAGCTATGCTTGTAAACAGAGAAACACAAGCACAAGCTGGGAAGAAGGCAGCATCTGTCTCAGAGGAGAAAGATGCTGCCTTTCCAGCACAACTTCTGCCTACTGGAAGCTGCCTACTGGAAGCTGCCTGCTGGAAGCTGTAGGGGAACAGCTGCAATAATGGCTTTATCATGCAAGAATTGTGGCATATATCATGGATGAGGAGTGGGTGGGACCTGAGATCCTTTGGCAGTGTTTAGATCACCGTGCAGTGAAATCAATCAGATACTAGCATGTCTCGGTTCTGCTAGCTCCAATTTTTGCTGCCAAATGCAAAACTGGTGCTACCACACCAGATCACTGCTCAGCTGTCCTCCTGCAGCACAGCTCCAAAACCATAGCCTCACTTCCTTCTATATCAGCTTCTCCAGAGGTAACTTGAGAGTAAAATCCAGTCTCTGCTTTCATGCTGAAAAACAGAAAGCCGGGTGCACCTGGAAGCTAAAACAGTGACCTGAAATGGCTAAGAGAGCATTAGGAGAAGAAAAAGTAGTTATTATCAGTAACAGGAATCAAGAAAACAAAGGCTGTGTCATTAAAACAATTGTCCCTCTACAAAAGGGGGAGGACCTGCAAGATCACAGGCCATCATACATCAAAGTAGTACAGAAAATTTCCCTAGAGACTGACTGACTCATTCAGGAGCTAAGACTTTGCTGTGATCCTTCTTCTCTGAGCCCTTCGCGTGGCAACAGCACCATCCAGCTGCTGCCTCTGCAGCACAGTGTCACCACAAACTGCATCAGCTCACATCAAACACCGTGGGAATGGCGTCAAGCAGGTATTCCCAGGATCCTATTACTCCAACAAGTAGCAACAGATGCTTCAGCTTTCGAGAACTGGGTACCCAGGCACTTATCCAATGCTTGTAGTGTCCGCATTCTCCCTCTCCCTGTGTTGGCAGGGCTGTGACAGACACTGGGTGCTTGGGCTGTCCCCTTTCTAAATATTCTGCACCATCAGTGCAGAAAAACACACACCATTGAGCAGAAAAAAGCAGAATTGAGGCAAGATAGACACTTGTCCCTCAGACTCTTGGAGATCTTGCTCTCTCATTCACTCTGTTAGGATCCTGTCCTATAGGCTGCACTGCAACCCACATTGCCAGGATAAGCCTTAACTCACAGACTCAATTATGTTAGAAAAGACCTCTGAGATCCTTGAGTCCAGCCTTTGGCGAAACACCACCATATCAACTAGACCATGGCACTGAGTGCCAGTCTTTCCTGAAACACCTCCAGACACAGTGACTCCACCACCTCTATTCTAATGTCTAACCCTTTTTTTGAAGGAAATTCCTCCTAATGCCCAACCAGAACCTTCCCTGGTGCAGCTTAAGACTATGTCCTCTTTTCCTGTTTCCTGGGAGAAGAGACTAACCCCTACCTGGTTACAACCTCCTTTCAGGAAGCTGTAAAGACTGTTAATGTCATCCCTGAGCCCCATCTTCTCCAGGCCAAACACACCCAGCTCCCTCAGCTGTTCCTCAAAACCACTGACAAGGCAGGAATTCCTGAAGCTTCAAAAGTGACCTTCGTAACACCAGCTAGAACAAAAGAATGTGGAACAAATGCCAGTATAAAAGTCACCAAATACTCATGGATAGTAAGAAACATAACTGAGCATAAAGTCACTCAATGTTGCTCAAAGGGATCCTGAGGCTTGACAGGGAGAAGGGCTCCTGTGGGGCTGCAGGCTAAAGGGCTCCTGAGAATGGCACCATGAAGGTTGACAAGGGAAAGAGGCTCCTATGGGGTGGCAAAGAACTGGCTCTTGCAGGGTATAATGAGCACAAGACAATAAAAACCCTACAATGCATACAGTGCAGAATATAATACAATACTGTACCATATGCTACAATAGCTATACAAGAAACCATGATATAATGCAGGACATACTCTGCAATACACTCAAAATATGTAAACTACAGTAAACATGAATGACAGCACACAACACATCTAGGACCATAATGAAAGGAATGAGAGGGATGTGTCTTTACAAACAAACTGTGGGTCTGCTTGCAGATAAAAGTCAGATACTGATAGGTGAAAGAGGCAATGGAACGAACCATAAATTCCAAGGAATCCCACTAATTGACACAGACTCAGTTGCTCATCCAAGACTGTGCCAAATTTCTGGACTTAAGAGGAAAAGAACAGCAATACAAAGAAAAATGGGGGAACGGTGCGGGGAGGGTACACATTAGAAGGGGTTCTGTATTAGGCTATTCAGGAAGTCTGTACCTCTCAAGCACCTCAGCCAAGGTGGAGAAAAAAATTAAGCAGGGAAATGAGGATAAAGAGAAGGCTGCATCCTCCAGCAATTTGAGAGACCTCACGGGAAATGTCCCATGGCCTCTCCCTTTATTTGAATAAAGTTGCAGGACTCCTCTGTCTCCTTTTAGAACATAAACCTCTGGCATTGTGGATTAATTTTCCTAACAAAAAAATACAGTAAATACCACATGGTACAGTACACACTGAAATGCACAACCCACTTCTCAGCCTTTGAAGAAACCTGCAACTCACACTAGGCCCTCTGTGGCCAAGATACAAGGTGGCCCCTTCAAATGACCCTGGACAGTCCTGTTTCACTCAGGATCTGCATCTGTGCTTTTCTGGTCACTCTCACCTCACCCTCCCTGTGTGCCCAACAAACAAGAGACCACAAGCAGCACAAATCTCATGGCAGCTTTTCCCCAATGCCAGATGCCACCACAAGTCCCTGACATGGCACTGTACCCAAGACGCAGACAGGAATCCCTTCACCCTACTGAGTAAATTCACCTCATGGGAATGCCCTCCCTTTTGGCAGAGGGAAGGAGACCTGAAAGGAACCAATTTGACTTTTTTTATGTCTCAACATATGTTATACACAGGGTGAAAAATTACTATAGGGGCTGTTAGATATGCTGGGAACATTAACGTACCATGTGATAAGCAGAAAATGGAGGTGTCAGGAAAATTAATCCACGAGAAATTTATGTTTTTATGGCGGGATGCCCCTGTGTCCTGGCAGTGATGCTGTCTCTGTCTTCTATTTCTTCCTCTGTCTCTCTTTCTCCCTCTCTGCACTCTTTTCTATCCCACTTTAGTTGGGTCCATACCCTTTCTTTACAAAGAAACAGTTCTCAGATATAATATTGCCACATTGGTGCTTTATTTTTATCTGAGAAATCTGTCAAAAAGAATGCTTCCCCTTTCAGCAGAATCTGTAAGGACCAAGATGACCCTCCAAGAATGCAAGTTTGCAAGTGCCAAGGGGGTGTGTATAATGAGGTTTTTTGAGGTAGAAACGGGCAGCAGATGAGGTTCACAAGGTCCATCCCCAGTGCCCAATCTCTGAACTGCTGGGACTTGAGACTGCACAGTCCCATCCTGCATTCCATAGTCTGGAGCACATCTGTCCCATGCCCCAGAGGAAAGTGGCTTCTCCCTCTGCCAACACCTCAACATAAAGCTGGCTCCCCCTCCTCCTCTTCCTCCAAAGAGCGCCGCTCCAGCCTGTGGCAGCTGCATGCACCTGCTTGTGGAGGTGCCTCCTGGGCAGGACTGAGACGGTTCCTCTGTGACACAGTCCAGCCCAAGCCAGCTCTGTGCTTTCCTGCCTCCTGGCCATCAGGGCAGCTTCCCCTGCGGCCAGCAGCTTCCTTCACAGGGCAATTTCCCTGCCCAAGACAGCCCCAGTGTGACGGAAGCAGGAGATCTGAGGGCTGCTGAGAGCTGAGTCTGCACACAGCTCAATGCAGCAGTGGCAAGGCCCGGGCAACACTTGGCTTGATTCCCCCTTGGCAGTTTTTCTTGTAAGGGGAGCCTCTTCACAACAAGACAAACACACAAGCTCAGTCAAAAACCAGGGCATTAGAGTTGTAGAGGGCACATCCACGAAGTCCTCCTGAAAAGTCTGTAAAACCAGCTGGTGTGTATGTCGATCCCTACTTGGAAGCTATACCAGAATGCTTCTCTAGCTGAACTTCAGGACTTTGACCAAAAAAGGTGCCAAATTCACAGGGCTCCAGTCATCTGTCCTAAAATATAGTAAAACCTTTTAACTTGCTTTCCAGGAAGCTCAGGGGAGTGATGAACACATTGAAAGCAAGATCTTCCAAGGTCTTTAGAAATCAGAGACACAGTTACATGCTTTTCCCACTGAATGTTACAAGTTTAACTGTGCAAAAATACAGTCATCAAGACTTTGCTGAGAACTAGAAACTGTTCCAGTGATGAACATGGAAAGAGGTACTGTTGTAATCAGAGCAAATAATACTTGTTGTTGAGCCAATCAAGTGCTTCAATACACTGAGATCCTGCTCTCAAGTGATTTAGACAACCTGTATTTAACTATTGTACCTCAAGAGAATCAACAACATCTGGAAAAGATGGAGGCAGAATAACGAAGTTTAAAACTGCACTAACTCAACAATAAAAATGGCTTAGGCTTTCCTACCAGTATTTCTTTTGAGCACAGGAAGATGAAGTTTTAACAACCTTTAAAACTGTATTTCAAAATACAAGATACCAATGGTGTTGAAAAAAAAAAAAAAAAAAAAGGAAAAAAAGGAGAGAAAAAAGAAAAAAACAAAAATTTCAGAGCTCTATCCTCTGGGTCCACAACTTAATAAAACAAGAAAAAACAAACACCACACCAGCCTCATAATAATACATACGGATAAGAAAGAGAATCTCCTCACCCCTATTATTATCTTCCTGTACTGCCTACATCATGAAGGAAAAAATTTTCTAACCAATTCCTCTCCTCTGTGCAATCATGTTTTAACACAACCACACAGGACATTTATAAGGCTGTTCTCAGCAGCTATTTCTTGAGCCTAACAAATCTACATGTTTTTTGCACAAGTGTGTCAACATCTTCATTATCCTTTTCTTCTGAACTTGGTTCCCAGTCTGAGTCTTCATCAGTAGGTTCGCACTCTTCCTCCTCCTCCTCGTCATCTATAAAGCAGTCATTGAGGTCATATTCATTGGCTTCACCATCATTGACACCATCCTTCTTCACCGCCCTTTTTCCTGTAGGGACAAAAATGTCATGTATCCATTACTAATAAAGGTGGAGTTCAAGATTACTCCCAGAACCCAGATAGTAAAGCATCTCTCCTCACAAGAAAGAATCACCTAAACAGTACATCTGTCTTCCAGTTAAGCCTCTAGTTATTGAAAATCTGACCCTAAATTTTCTGCATCCATCCATCCATCCATCCATCCATCCTTTGTATTCTTAGTCTTTGAAAGCTAATAGCTTCCTTCACACGAGAGAATAAAATCTTCTAGATCACTCACCTCCTATGTTCTCCACTTGCCTTCATGCTGGATAGTCTGTGTTTCCCTTCTGAAAGTAATTTTGTTCAGAAATGCATTTTGGCAGATGTGTTTCAACCTTGCTCTCAATATCTGTGACACCTCTTTTCTTAAATTTCCAAAATTCCTAACTAGCTATGGCCTGTTAATATTCCAATCATGTCTTATTCTACCCTTAAGTCACGTCTCTGAGTAAAATCATGTTCATTCCCCAGCTTCCCTCCCAGTTTTGCATTCTTACCTTATCTAGAAATAACCACACAATGATATCGGTCTAGCTAACTTATCTGTTGAGCAGCTTTCATATGGAACTATTAATATGGGTTTTTTTTTTTTCTTTAGCTACAGACCCACAGGCCAAATCCTAACTCTTTAAATTAACCATAAACAATTTTCAGGAAACTCCTGAAACCTCAGGTCAGAGCTCCAGGCACAAACACTACCACCAGTACCTCACATAGCCAGACTACAGCCTCTTTCAGTCACACTCTTCTGTGAGTAGGAACGCTCCTCTTCCAGAATTACCTTTCTTTTTATGCTTGCTGGCTTATTGTTTAAGAGACTTCAGAGGAAATTAATAATGCCATAACTGGGAGGGCACGTTCATTTCAGGATGTTTCCTCCCAATTTGTCTCAAACCAAGACACTGTGTTAGCCCATAACCAGCAGAATCACAGACTATAGTCCTTGCAGAATTGGAGGGGAGGGGTCAAAATGAAGATGCTGAATAAAGTAAAAGCAAAATCCCCCTTCTCAGACTAAGGTTACGAGAATAATAAGCCCAAGAGCTGCTTATCAAAGAAGTGCCACTTTCACAGCACTGTGAGTGGTATTTTACAACAGAAGCAGGAATGCTGGCAATATACTGATAACTTTCATATTCTTCTTACAAATGTAAGATATGCATACTATGTTCTCCCTCCTCATATATCAACACTGATTTGAGCAGTGAGTGATACACTTCCTTTTATGCCTTTCCTCTCCATTTCTTTCTGCTGTAGTTTAATTTAGCCCTGCAGCCCCTAAAGCTGATGATTAAGCTTAATTCAGCCTTTTCTCTAGTAGCCTATCTATAAAGATGATCTTGAAACTTTCTATGGAAGTATCTCCTTGATGTGGGAAAAAAGGCTTGCTGACTGCTCCTTCCAAAACATTCTATTTTGAAGTGAGCTTATCAGCTTTCTAGAAAACCTGCACAAAAGTATGTAGAAGAATGCATGTAGTAGAATCCATGGCTACAGGGTGTTATTCATCTCAGCAGCAACAACCTAGAGAAGTCATTCAGTAGTGACAATTTAACAACAGCATAACTCTGACATTTTTTAAAATTCCTTCCCTACAATTATTCCCCAGTAATTTGCCTCAGATTATTTTTCAGACATTCTCTACAGGCAATTCTGGCAGCAATTAGATTTGAAAGCTAAACATGTTAACTGTCACGTAGAGGGCTCCCCTCTTCTCTTGGCTCATGGAATTTAAATACCCTTGTAAGGAATTTAATCCTGCTGTGTCTAATGGTGCAGTTGTGCCCAATATGACAAAATAAAGGTTAATGGAGCTCTTACTGTCTATCTGACCTTGCAGGACGTGGTATGATAGCCTCAGGTGTGAACTTGCTGAGCACCACCTTTTATAAGCTTTGCCCTCCACAGAGCTAAGTCAACCAGTCAACAAAACATTACAATTTTTTTTAAATAGTAAATATAAACAGAACTTAATAAATTATTTCCCTTCTTTCCCATGTATGCAGAATATCAATTCTTCCACAGTTTGTTCTTAGTAAGAAAAGTTGAATCTGACAGGCTGAATTTCACTTCTGTGTGCACGTTTTACATGCTAAAAGAGCAGCACTTCTTCCTTCAGAGTCACCCCTGCCCGACCATCAGCTGCACACACAAGGGGCAGGGTGCACCCTACTATTTGGATAAGGAATGTACTCTTATGAGAGGCACAGCTGCAATTTAAAACCTTCAAGAATAGATTTGGACTTTTAGATATGCACAGCCTAGCCTGCTTCATTCTAAAATCTTCAACATTCAGTGCATGCCTCAACACTCTCCAACACAAATTTCTACCACAGACCTCTGATCACGGTGGGGCTGGTACTTGTATCACAAGATACACTAAAACACACACGTAACAAACATGCCTCAGAATATTCTGGTGCACAGATATAAGCATAGCAAATATTTGGTGATAGTCAAAGTGCACACAAACTGGATAAGAAATGATATGGCAAAGAAATTTCTCAGTGGAAAGTTTAAAATAACCTCCTGCATTCACACAGAACAGAAAGAGAGGTCAAAACACTTTGCCATATTGCCATACAACTATTTGCACTTTTATTTACTTTCTGTAGAAAGCAAATCTATTTTGAAGATTTCTTTAGGAAATTCCCAGCCTCTCCTTGGTGATCTCAAAGAAGACAAGCCACTTCCCATTCCCACTCAAAATGCAACAGTTCTACACCCTCCTGCCTTACTCTGGACACTGAAAGCGAAGACTGCAGAGCATTAGACTTTCAGACTGCTCTTTAAAGCTCACTTTTAATTTTAGAAAACATAGGAAGCTTCACATTTGGAAGATGAGACAAAAAAGAATCCTGGAAGCAGACCTAAGCATGTGTCCTGGGTTGTAAGATATGTGGGTATTCTATTCCTATCTGTTAGAGGTGGGGCAGTTAACTTCTGTTATTTGGGCAGTTTTATCTGTTCCACAACCAATCCTCTCTCCAGGAAATATCTTCTGTTAGTGGCTCATTGAGTGTCACCGCATGACTGATAAAATTACATCATCCTGTTGTGAGAAGCTCTACCTGGGGAGAGGAGCCAAACCTTCCTACCTGGATATAATCTGAGATTTGGAACACCGCAGGCAGCCTTTTCCCACTGAATTCCCAGACGAGCAGCTTCCTTCTCCACTAGATTCCCAGAAGAAGACAAGGCCCATCTCACCACCACTGGGCCTTCAGAGGAAAAGTACAGCTTTCTACAGGATCACTGCTTCAACAGAACCACACCTGTCACTCCAGGAGGACTGCAGCCACCATTTCAATTGTACTGCTACCACCCTCACCAACAGGGTGTCAGGTTGTATTCTGACTCTGTCAGTGTTTTTTGGTTTTGTTTTTTGTTTGTTTGTTTGTACTATTGCATTTGTATTTTTAGTTTTCCTAGTAAAAAACTGTTCTTCCTATCCCCACGTCTTTGCCTGAGAGCCTTTTAATTTCAAAATTATAATATTTCAGAGGGAGCTTGTTTACATTTTTCATTTCTAGGAAGGCTCCTGCCTTCTTTAGAAGACATCTGTCTTTTCAATTGAAGACAGCATGTTTAAAACTTGAGTCTATGTGCCCCCAACATACATAAACTTCTATACTTTGATCCTAAGAAGCCCTGAAATTTCGGTACCTCACTGTAAGAGTAAGGAAGTTCATCAGTACATGCACAGATTATCACCTGGAAGTTAGTTAAATGTCAGAGGGAATATCTGCATGTTACAGGAGCAACCACTCCTTATAAGGCAACCTTAACTAGCTGTGCATGAAATACTGGATTCCTTTAATCCTATTATGGCTGCATCCTTAAAATATGTTTGTTTTCTTGTCTGCTTCTAGGAAAATACAGGTGTGATTATCCAGGAAGGCTGGCACAAATGCAACTGAAGGACTATTACTTGTAAGAAAACAAGAAGGATTTTATTAAAATAATGACTATTTTCTCCTCAGCTAAGTATTATCAAGCATCTCCAGCACTATTAAATGCCAAAAGAGCCACAGCAGACCAATGGTATCCCAGGCTGATGTGCCCACTCATAACTACAGAATACGCTCACCATTGCTTGAAGCTCGTTGTCGTGTTCCTCTTCCAGTTACTAAAGAAAGGGAAGTTGTCATCAGGACAGAGGGAACCCTGCCATAAGGGTTATTCTTAGAGCTGCTACAACAGGAAACTGACCTATTAAACAAATGCTGAAATGGTTGTGCTGTACTTCCAGGTACAGCACTCTGATGCCTCAAAAATACCATTTTTGTTTTGAATCATTCCCAAGAGATTACCCAGATAAACTGTTCTTAAAATCATTACCCTTGCCATCTGTAGACAAATGTCATCAAATCTGACTGGGGGTTTTTAAGCAGGAAATTGGAATATTTTAGGGCATTTAAGTATTTTACACTACTGTTTCCATAAATGCTGTTCTAACTTAATCATGTCATAGCCCTGAATCTTCAAAGCAAAATGCATTATCATGACAGTTTCCTAAGTGTTCTGCTCTAAACCACTGTTTATAGCATTGGGATTTCATGTGGAAAAGCTCCAATTCAATAATCAAGAGAAAGCACCATAAAAAAATAAAACCAAGAAGTATCTCTTTCAATTCTTTAAGAGCAGACAAAATGTACACAGCACATTCCCCTGTGTTTCTTCACCAAATCAAGTTACTGGAATATAAAAAGACTACAAAGTGTTAGATTAAGAACTCAAATTCAGTTTTAGTTATCTTCCCTCCAGGCCTCAAGAAAATATATATGCAAAAATTAATTCTCACAGTAAGAAAATCACTGGTGAAAAAAACCCAACACAAAAAGATGACAGATACGGTTGCAGTATTTTGTTTAGAGCGTCAGAATATTTTAAAATTTTATCTTACCTGAGAATTTCTGATTTAAAAAAAATCCCAGAAAAAAAAATAATCCTAATACAGAGGGAGCTATAAATGCAACTTTATTTCCTAAAGGGAGATTAGAGTCTTTTAATGAGATAGACATGATTGTCCTTGTGGGTCCCTTCCAATTCAGAATTTTCTGTCATTCTGTAATATTGAATAAATTGGCCTACCTGGAGGTGCACTGTGCTTGTGTTCCAGTTTGTGCTGGGGGTTCTTCCTGCAAAGAAGAAAACAGTAAAAGCTTGATTCCATCATCTTGTTCCACATTTCACAAGTGCAGAATTTCCTGGTATTTTATGGATAATTTTCAAGGCACAGCATTTAGATCAGACAGATAATAGCCAATAGATAAGGACAAAAAAAATTAACACAAAACCCCTTCAAATTATATCTGTTGCTTCATCAAAAGAATGATCAATTTTTCATGGGTGCCTCCTTTCCTCTATCCCCAAAGAATGAAACAGAGATTAAGAAATTACTAACTCGTGCAACACAGAGGTTGCCTCATCTGGAGGAAGAGCCAGTTTGGGGTTTAGATAAAACATCTGTTGTACGCCTGAGAAGCATGTTGGCAATTTCATTACTGATATAAGTCTGTATCACTCAGCCTGAGATGGAAAATTCATCTCATACATGTTTTTAAGAGAACCACGTTTTCTGCATTAGCTGAGTATCACCAAGGCTTTTTCCTAAGAGCTGTTCTCATTTTGTTACATTTCATGGAGATCATGCTTTTTAGGATAATCACACTTTCCAGGAGAAAATGTTTATATGGGGAAACAATCTTTAACAACAGCCACCAGTTTCAATATGCTCCCATAGAAATGCTATTGCTTCAAAAGATATCTTCTTGTGCATTGTGATAATTATGCAGTCTGCTAAATATGTAAACTCGAGATACTGAAAAACAATGGAATACAACAATATTTTGAAGAAAATCAACAGTGATTAAAAGAAACAGCAGTCAGCCATAAACTGGATTTTATTGCTGTTACCTCAATTATGCTTTGTAATAAATCAAGTACTGACTAAAATAGTCTATTTGCAAAATCACAACAAATACATTACCAAAGTTTAAACTAAAAGTTACAGATCAAGAACAACATGTAACTATAAATTGCTTATATAAGAGAACAATTTACTGAATGTTGAAAAGAAATGCAGTATTGATCTCCAGGTCACTGAATGGGCTCTTTGAGCAGTCAAGTTTTCATCTCTGACAGCTGACATAATTACCAAAATAGTGATTTTTACTGTGTCAGTGTTAAAAATATGCACAGACTTGACTGCTTTAAGGGTAGAAGTCTGACCGCAGTAAATTTCGGAAGGCTACAGGCAATGTAAACATCAAGAATTAGTCATTATTCTACTGTCCTTCTGCAACTGCAGAGGAGAACATTCTTAACCTGACACAAGAAGAGACACTGTGCACGTGTTTCTCACCTATAACAAGCTGTTCCATACGGACACTCAGGCCGGCTGTCATCATCGTCCTGAGCCACCATCTCCATGTTGTGATAGTCATCATCATTAGGATGACTGAACTGCTGGAAGTGAATGGGATTCTTCCTGCAAAAGACAAATACACACTGAAACTGACTGATCCATTTCAACACAAGAGAGGACATATAAAACATGTTACTGAATCAATGACAGCTCATTTTTCTGTGGTTACATGAAGAGGAGCTTTTAATGTTTAACTTGACACAGACTGTATGACCTACCTTCAGGACAACAGAAGAAATTTTGTCTTAGCACCTGCTGCAACAGAAGTTAAACCAGGAATTTTCCTATTTCCCATCAGCTTTAAGTTTCAGACCTCCAACACATGTACAAAAGGCTTTATTTGAATTACAAACTAGCATGCTGACATGAAGTTGTACCATAAGACATTAACAACTTCATGTGTAGCTGAGTCACACCAATGTTAGTGAGGGCAGCACAAGATCATCATCCACAACTTCTTGCTCTACAACACTTGAATCCGAGGTGAACAAGTAGAGAACATAAATTTATGCATCGCTGAAACAACATTTCTACCACTTCTAGGCAAGAGCTTTGTACACACACCACTCAAGACTAGACAGTCATAAACATCACTTAAAGAAGAGTTTCTTCCTTCTATAACTGTTCCAAGTGGAATTAAAAAGAACACAGAAAATCAAGTTTCCACTTCAGGAGAAATTAATGTGACAGGTCAAAACAGGATAAAAAAATTACATCAAAATTAACATAATAGTAGCAAAAGCAAATCTACTTTTTCCCTATAATTTCCTGTAGATTTTTTTTCCAAGTGTAATACTGAGAAGCAAGAAATGTGAGATTTTTAAATAAATTATTTTCCAAAAGACATCTGCAAAATACTTTACTGATTACCTCAATCATACCCAGAGTACATAACCTCTAGTGTGTTTGTGCAAATTATAAAAGTGAGCTGCCTGCCTCAAGCAGGAGGAATAACAACTTTCAGCTGCAGAGTAGTGACTGATTTAGCTTTGACTTGCTTCAGCTGCATTTAGAAGCAGGTACAGAACACACCAAGGATGTGTGCAGCCACCTCCATACACAGCAACTTCCTCACTGATCAGAGAAATACCTTCAAACTCACAAGTACTTCTGAACTTCACAGAGGACAGTCAATATTCATTTTAGCATTTCAACTACCACTATAACAAAAAAGAATTTGCTACAGCTTTTACAAAGATGACTTAAACACCGTGAGCTCTGCTGGCCATTCAGGCTTCCTTTTAGCATTTGAGAAATACCAGCTATTTAGTATTAATTCTTTAAATCTCCATTTGCTAGGTATGTTTCACTCAGGAAACTCCACAAGCAAGCTACAGATTAACTCTTCCATAAGCCACTTATCAAAGATCCACTATCAAAGATCTACTTACATAGGTGATAGGCTTCTTTTCCTGTAGGACAATTGAATAATGTTTCACTAGAAACTATTGCAGGGTTGCAGTCTTTTATTCTATAACAAATTCTCATGAAACATCACTTCTTGTGACAAATTCAGACTGGCTGCCTACTTCTTTCCCCATTAAAATAAATGGGATGAAACCAAATTATTTAGAGGCCGTTTGCCACTTTGTTTTCTTAATGCACAGAACTAACATACTTGCAGTAACAGCAAGAATTTTCAGTCACATGAAATCCAATTTATCTTCTGAAAGGGATATAGCAGCAACTGATGTTCCTTGATTTAATTTTAATCCTTACTCCTACATCAAGATACATAAAGCACCATGGTTGCCACATGTCACGGTTTGACACTGGCACGATGCCAGTGCCCCCATGAAAATATATATTCCCTGGTGTGAGATACAACCAGGAATCCAGCAAAGCAGGCTCCAACTTAAAAGGGTTCTCCTTTTAAGGATGCTTTGCCCAGTTCCAAAAAAAGCACAGTCTCTTGCTTTTGGGACACCAGTCCCCCCCAAATTCACCCCCTGGGGCCGAGGGGGCCTCAAGAACAGAGGTCTTCTTCTTCACTGAAGATTGAGGGAACCACCACTCTCCTCACCCGTCGTCTCTGTTCACACACTCCTTCACATAACATCACTGCACTCTCTTGGCTCCAAGCCATTGCCTCCCCCTAAATGAAGTCTCTGTGTCACATGAAAAATGGTTCTGTCCACGGCTATACAAGAAAAGTCCAGGCAAAGGCCACTCCATCATCCCTCTCACCTAAGATTCTTCTCCACTTCTCTCGTGGCCCATTTCCTCTTATCTCATCTTTACCTCTCTTCTCATTCAGCTCCAGAAGGATCAGCATTTGTAAATTTTCCATCATCCAAGAAAAGGGTTAAAAATCTCAGTCTCTGCCCATCCAGAGCTCCCACGGCTGTCCTGCCAGGCACCTTCTCGCCCCACCCCCCACTTTTTCTCAGCCGGCCTGCTATCAAATTACAAGGTGGCCCAGGCACAGACACCAGCTCTCTCGCTCTCTCTGTCTCTCTCTCTCTCTCATGGGGGAGGGGTGGCTGCCCGATGTGTCTTGGTGCTCGTCCACCTTTCCATCCTCAGGGCCCGGCCTACCTCGCTCCACCGCATGTCTTCCCCTCCCCGCCAAGCCACAGCAGCTGGGCAGGGGAAGAGGTCTGAACCTTTCACCCACTGGAACCTGAGAGAAAGTTTTCCTGGGAGTGCTCTGCTTTTAACCTCCTGTGTTCTCAGAGGCATATCCATGTCCTCAGTGGCCACACCAGGAGCCAATATTCAAATCTGAGCACCTATTGGTTTGACCACAGCATCCCAAAAAAACTCACTTCCTCTCAAACCATGACACTGTTTCAGACACGAGAGCTCAGGTCTACTATACCTCTTCTATGGTGGCCCTTAAAAAGGGTGGTGGTGGTAGATTTATTTTAATTCCCTATTCTGCTAACTTCAGAAAAGCAAGCATCAGACAAAAACATGTGACAGCATTCAGAGGGCAAGCTCCTCAATAACAAGTAAAGGCAGCTACAACATACACAGAGCACTTTGTCTCCTAATGATAACAGCAGCTCCTTTGAATTTGGCCACTTCAGAAATGACAGTGAATGAAGGTGACAAGATGACTCCTTGGAGCAAGAGGTGTGCATTTTTAGCTCTTTCAAAAGCAGTGTTTTCAAATTCATAAATGAAGAAACTAAACTATGGATTACAAATTTACTTACTAAATGTTTGCTACAGGCTAATAGAAATGTAGTCAAATAACTAGATCTAACATTTGATCTTTGCCCTAACACACTTTTGCCACCACACAGAAACAACTACTTAGGGGCCTTGAACTAAAAGCAAATACAAAGGCAGGCTACAAAGCACATTTCTTTTGCTGCAAGCCAACAAGTCAAGTTCCATAATATTTCCTGAAGATCAAAGCTGATATTTTGATTCTCCTTATTTACAAAATTCTCCCTATTTTTCTCCCTATCTGACAAAGTAAGACTGTTATTTCAGAGCATTCTTTTCTTTTTATAAAGCAATACTTTCCAAAAGCATTGCTGCCGAACGTCTCACAATCAAGAGACCCAGAAAGAAATGTGCACATATAGACTCCTGCTCCCTACTACCAGTACCTAAGATTTGCCTTCCTAAAGATAAGGAATATTTCTTCATAGCAGAACATTAAATCTCCTTAATACCCACACAGGGCAAAACCTGTCTCAGCAAAATTCAAAGTAGCTGAAGCAAACCAGAGGCTGCATTTGCACTACCGGATCAACAGAACTGTCTAATAAGACATGCTTTTGTCATAATCATTAAGGGGAAAAAATGAGATAAGTCAAAGTTACATGAAAACCAACATGTGATGTGTTCATGAACACAACAGCTTTATAATTTTGATATTCAGTTATCTCAGCATCAGCCTCACCGAACATAGAGGAAGCCAGTCACTTGTGCTTGTTTGGTTCCTAACCAAACTCACTGCTTTTATTATTGTTGAAGCCCCTTGGGGGAAGATAAAAAAAGTCACAGGATCTGCTGTTTCCTGGATTAGCCTTTTGTATTTACAAAATAAATTACATGGGATTATCTAGAGCTCAAAACCATCTCCTAAATGTAGTTCACAGGTCAGTGGGCATTTTCTCAACTTAAGAGCACTTCTAGAGTTCAGCCTTCCATTTAATGTAACACGACAGGACACCACAGATCTTTTCTGGGCAAAAAGAACTAGCAGGAGGCCAGGCACCCAGCACTGGTGTTCTGGAACTTCTCTGGTAAGACAAATCTTCTACCATGTCCATCTTGAAAGGATATGAGTGAAAAGAAGAGGAAAAGCCCCTGTTATTCCCCACTTGCAGTATTTCTAAGGACTGTCCAGATAAGAGTTAATCTCAAGTTCTAAGTATGCTTTGTTCTGGTTTTCAGGGTGACTGAAAGCTTTTTAAAAACTGCAGAAATATCATGTTATAATAAGATAAATTCTTGATTATTTATGAATGACAAAGAGTAAGTATTTTAAACATTCAGATCACAAAGCAGGCAGTAACTTCAATAAATACAGTAATCTTTCATGTAAATCTCAAAAAAACCAAAAAAAAACAAAAAAAACAAACCTATAGGGTCTGTGTTGGGCACTTGAACCTTTTACATCTCTTCTCTGCTAGTACTTCATACCATACACACAGGTCTTTTATTTCTTTTCCTTTTATAATGGACCTTTATATTTTATTTCCTGCAACACTTCATCTTTTAGTTTGCTCAAATACTTCATCCCTTGTTTGGGTTGTATTAGGAGTTAGCAATCCCGGCTCCTCCTTTTATCCCTCTGCTATTTGTTTCTCATCAGATCCCTGTTCAACAAAAGATTTTTTTTTCCAAATCAAAGCTTGTAACAACTTTACAGTTTTCTCTTCCATAGCTAATATGTTATTTCTGAATAACAAGCTAGACCAAGCTAGTATTGATTTTGCTTTACCTGTAACAGCCACTTCCATACTTGCAAGGTGTCCTCTTATGCTGCATCTTTTTGGAGCTTTCTGAAGCATCTGCACTTCTGGCTGAATCAGAAATCTTAGTGTTGTAGTCCAGATTTGCATCAGGCTCAAGAATCCCTTCCTGAGCACCAAGATATTGGGAAGTCCTGCCCCAGTGAGCTTGTCGGCTGGTAGAACCAGCAATGTGCTCTTTGTTTTCTGTTTCCTCAATTCTGTTGTCTTTAATGGAGACCTGACCTTCTCTTTTAGACCATTTGCTATGCAGCTGCCTATCATTTTTTTCCAGAGAATTTCCAGGGTTTCTTGTTCCAGTCTTGCCACTTCCTTCCGTATCTCTCATGGTAGTCTCAAGAGGTAATCCAAATGTATCCTGTGGAACAAGGTTACATTTTGAAAAACCTGAAAATTTACACTCCTCAGAATGAAAAGCTTTGAAGTAAAACTGTGCCTCATCATCCCTGCTTTCAAAATCAGTCACAGAACAGCCCGATTTAGAAAGGACCTTGAAAGTTCATCTGGTCTAGACTAAAAATCTTCTACTCTACTTCCTAAACTCAAGTTCACTGCTAAACACAGCTGCTGAATGAAAACCTCAAGTTCAGAAAACACAAAGAGAAAAACTTATCTTAAAAGAAAAACTCAAAGAAAAACTTATCTAACAGCTTCCTTCCTCAGCTTCCGTTCCTTCACGTGACCTGTTCTCTCATTACCTCAGTTTGTGAACAGTCCAAGAACTAGTTTAAATTAACTTCCAATTTAAAGTACTGCTCCTGAAAAATTAATGGGGATTATACAGGTGAAGATGTAGTGGACTGCAGAAGAATGTAATTTGGACAGACTCCTACCCATGAATCAATTTAAATGATTAAGGAATCACTTACTAATTTAATGAGTTTCTTAATAATTTAAGCACCCAGATATATGGAGTATATTTGTATTTATCTATACAGAAGATATATGGGAACTCAGGAGACATACCCTGAGGTTGATCCCACACTGATACATCTTAAATGCTTCAGCTCATGACTCTAAATTACAACAGTCTGTCATAGACACCATTAAGCAAATATTTCAGTTTTGACACTAACTGCATTTTAAATCTTGGAAAAAAATGTACATGTAAAATAAGAAATGTGTTCTTTAGGAAAAGAATCTGAGATACACAGATTCAGGAAAAAACACTGTCCTGACAATTGAGACATTAGTTGGAAGCATATTACATTCAAGGCTGAATTACTTTGATACATCATAGAACTATTCAAATGTCTGTGCTTTCTAAAGATTATTATCTATATTTCCCCTCCAGTAAATTTATACTTAATTTACACAGGTGTGTTTTGCAGAGCTTGAAAATCAAACAGTGATTTCCTATTGGATTTTGTTCCTTTCCAAGCAAGTCTCATGAAATGCTATCCAAAACCAATTACATTTGAGCAGCAACTTGATTAAGAAAGGGGAAGTCAGCATTACCATCAGATGATCCTTACAGAAGCACATTTAGTGACTCAACTAGGAGACAAAGACAACTCCCAAAATACAGCTAAGCAATCAACTGCAATTTAAGAAATAAGCCTTTCTTTGCAAAAGAAAGCATAAATTACTGTTATTTGCCACTACCACTTCTGAGTTCTCTACCATGTATTTCCACCCATTGCCTGTACTGTACATAAGGAGACAGAAGGCTCACACAAATACCCTGGTTACACACCAGGCTGTGATCCAGGGAAACCAAAAGCCACCAGCACTCAGCAACGGGACAGCCTCTGGAGGCTGCTGCCAACCACAACAATTTAGATACTTTTGCTTTCTTTCCTACAGAACATTTTATCAATCGCCTTAAACATGACAGCAGGACCATGATTTAGGCTCTGCTATCCAAATTACAGTCTTTCAGAGCTCTCTATGGTTACTACTCTTGCTTGCCCTAATACATCAGCTTCTCTGCAAAGTCCTGAAAGCAATTTCTTAAACTGTACTTGAAATTAAAATGATTTATGAAATTATTAGGTGAAAACAAGTAAGGCTTCCTACGTACAAATTGCAAAATTGAAAAATTCATTACATAGTTACTCATTTTATAACCAGGCAATGAGAAAACAGCTCAGCAGCTGTTATTAATGGACCTAGTGGACCACTGTTATACCAAAACTACTACTACTACTTGCTCTCCATCTACAGTTTGCTTCAATTAACCTTAAAACCAAAAAAAAACCCCAACAATTTTCAGTGTCAGAAGCATTTTATCAGATCCTGGAACACACCCAGGCAATTTTAATGCCAGTCATTAAAAACACCTTCCAGAGTGGTTCACTTAAAGGAAACAAGTCAGTGAAACTCTGTTTGCTCTCACCAGAATATGCTTTGTTTGACTTTAGCAATGATCCTTCTCACCACTTGCAGGATGTCGTTAATAAGGACTTGACTGCCTAAAAAGGCAGCTGTACTGTGAGGTCACAGAGAGACTTGACCAGTTGGACCAAAAGGTCTGTTCACTCATTGCCACAAATAGTTTTGGGTTTCAGGTTACTTCTTCTTCCTTTTTTTGACTCAGATTTTGAGATGGTGGCATAAGCACACTCCATGCTAACTTCCTTTGAAACAGCAGTTGCTGAGCCACACACCATCCTCATCTGACCATCAACCCTCACCTACTACAATGGCAATAGCTTGGGCAAAGCCCAGTGTTGCATTGCATCAGTTTCACACCATCACCTATCCCCAGAGGTTCTCAGAAAAAGAAGCCACATACACCAGCTATTCCTAGGAGCAGTGCTCTGGCCCATGTGCTCCTGCTTCTTGCTGCAAAGTTTTCAGTCTGGTACTTCTGTGGGACATTTGGGGGCCATGTCCCAAATCCTTTGAAGGAAATGCAGAAAACCAAATCTCTGAGGCTTCCATGATCCTTGCTACAGAGCTATCCAAAAGACTGGTATTTCAAAACAACAAATCACGATCAGAACACAGAGAACAAAAAGTTATGTTGTAGACCTAACCTTCAACATGACATTGCCAACTACATTCTCATTTTTTGCAATATCATGGTTGCGCCCTGAGCCAAAAAGTTACCTGAGATAAAAGAACAGGGAAGGGAAGGCAGTTCCTTTTCCCTTGATCTTGCTCTCCACCTTCAAAATCCACTATAGTTTCTTCAGAAGGTAATCTTTTTTTCTGCTGTACATGTACTTCTGATTTTAATGACTCTGTAAGACATTCTCTCCTTCCTTGGCCTTTTTTCTTTCTACTACCTTAAAAAAAAAGAAAAAGGGTACTTTTGGAATGCAATTTTTTAGTGAAATCCTGACTAGAAATCATTAAAGTAAAACACTGGGCACATGGCATGAGAAACAGCAGCAGTTGTGAAAAAGACTTTTTAAACGGTTTCAATGTTTGCATCTATCCCCAGTTTCCCCAAGGTCAGGGCATGAGATACTTACCCACACAGCTCCTAATCTCAACACTGACAAAAGCAAAACATTCAGTCTTTGAAATAAACATTATATTCACACAAATAGCAAACATTATAGTACTGGCAGAGAAACAAATAAATAGACAAACAAACCTCACTCCCCCAAAAATACAACACAAAAGCACAAACATAAGAAAACTATTACATCAGTACAGGACTCAACACCATGCAATTTTTATATAAAAATGGCAGGAAGGAACAGTCTAGATATAGAAGGGAGATGAAAGAAAAAATACTGAAACACAGATTTTCTTTGTCATCTTATAATTTTTTTCCAAACTAGCTTTTGAGGAAAAGAATAGGCAGTGAGGTGGATGGCACATGATTGAGGTTTTTAAAGCCACAGTTGCCCTTATCAGTGTCCACAGACACCTGTATTTACAACAGAAGGGAAGAAGCAACTGGCCAGACACTGCATTTAACATACTCCTGTGGGTTTGCTTGCATATTAAGAGCCAAATCCATAACAGCATCTCAGTAGAAAGAGCAGCTGGAAAGAGTCACTGAGGTAGAGCTGCTGCACACGGGAGCAGACACACACTCACCAGCCACAGTTCATATACTTGGACTGATGAGCAAAGGAAACTCAAGTCTGCCCCCAAACCACTTCACACCTCCCCACAGAAGGGCAAACAGGGTGGGGTGTGCTGTGTTCAGCACAGGGAGTGATGGAAATACTTTCCCCCTCTCCCTTCTTTGGCCCTCCTGTTCCATCAATAAAAGTCACAAGGGCAATAAATGCCATGTAGAAAGTTTGTCTAATGGCAGTTTTAGAAGCTCCCAGGAGCAAAGGCAGACATGTTATAAAGTCTTCTTAAGCTTGTGCCAATGCATAGGCACCTCGTGTATCCCACTGAGAGTGACTGAAAAGAGCCTTCTGCCGCTGTCACTGCTGCTAGGCAGCAGCAGCACGTGACACATCCAGCAATTTCTTTTCCCACAAGAACGGGAGGGAATGCAACACTACTTTAGCCTTATGTTGGTAAGAATCTATCAGACTGTAATGAACTGCTCCTCCTAGGAATTAACTTTGGACTAAATAACCAAGTTTGATTCAGTAATGATTAAAAAACTAACATGCAACACCACCCAAACCCTTCTTCCCTTAAAACCTGTGAAATTTAGAAGCTAAATTTAGAAGGGCAAAACATCAGTGACTTAAGTGTGGAGAACTCTAGGAATTAAAGAGATAGAAACTACTTAGAATTTACATACAAAATAGGCAAGTTTATAGCAAAGGGCTCCTGAACGTCCAATGCTCAGCTGTACAAACAGAATTTATTTATCTAGCATCAAAACCAAAAAGAACAGAAAGAAAATTAACTGATGAAAAAGAGCTCTATCACACTCATAGGACTGATGACAAAGGAGACAACAGAAGTCAGTCATTGTCAGCTGGCCCCACACAGAGCATGGAAAGAGAAGTAGCAAATTAATACTTCCTATCACCACCATAATAATTTTAAAAAGTGTATCAAAGCACAGGAATGCATATTGGAATGCAATCATTATCACACTGCAAACCTACCTCCTGTCGTAACAGGCTTGGAAACCCTCTGCACCAGAAGATCTCTTTCCAGCATCCAAGATGGAAGCACTCTCTTTCTTTGAATAGATTTTGACTCTTTGCTTTCATTATTGTCAGAAAGAGGAACCTGAAAGAACATTTACTGTTTAGTTCTTTTACCCAGGCACAGAAGAGTGGGGGGAAACTAGACCCACAGTTCATGCCCCTCAAAAGCAGTCTGGGTAACCATCTACTTCTTGTATGGGGACCATTGCTCAAATATTTAAATTTTTTTTGCAGTTTCCACCCACTCAGAAAAACAACATTTATAGGAACCTTCATGCAGTAAAAACGAAACAAAATAAAACAGAACTTCTTAGATCTTTGGAATAAATATCTAAAAGGCTACAAACTGAAAGATTCATAGAAGAGCTTTACCACTACCTAGCTCTAAAGTTTCCCTACATAGATATAACAGAAAGAGCAAGTTTAATAAAAGTCAAATTAACATTAACAATTATGTCCAAGAAAAAAACCCCAAACCCCTGCAAACATAAAAGTCTTTCTTAAATTCCTATAATTTATTTCCCCATAAAGTAACAAGACTCTAAATCTCTGTAAAAACAATGCAAATACACCAAAGTCACATTAATTATTTACTGAAAATAACACTCTCATTTTGAATTTCCTGAGCCAGTACACCCCAGGGATCTCAACCACAGCAAAGGCTGACATTTCATTTGTATAGAGAACATAACACCTCCTTAACTTTCAACACATGCTTACAAATATTAAACTTCATTAAAAACTTCAACACCTACCAAAAATCTGGAAGTAGCATCATTATTCCTTGTTTTTGTGGCTCCCTGTACGTCAGAGCTGGAACATGCTGGTTCCATTTACAATGGAATACAGGACATCTCAACAGCAAGAACGTTGGTGCTTCTGCATCAGCCTCCTGATTTTTTTCTGACAAAACAAAATGAATTTTATCTACTCACACACTACAAATATAAAAATGCACTTTTGACTCAAACACAAAAGTTGGTCTGAATGCTTGCCATTAACAAATGCAGTTTGAAACTGATCATCAACATCCTCTTATCATCAGCTTACAGAGGAAATAAATGCACCTTCCTTTTACCTCATACCTAAAGGGTTTTGAATAATAGACTCTCTAATAACTGCTGACCACGACTGTGCTGCTTTGGGGCTTCAGTACATAATTTACAGTGGTTGCTGCCATGACAAAACTTTGAGAAAGCTGAAACTGCATCTTAGAATTTGCTTTATGGTAAATCTGCACAACTCCCCAAAATCTGATCCTACTTTAAAAGTCAGGCAACAATTTTAAGAGGCAGTTTTCAGGATCAGATGCCAAATGAATCAAGCACTTCCCAGCAAGTTCTCACTACAGGCTATAAGCCTGCAGCACTGAAGTGACACTAGATACACAGGTGCTAGATTCAAAAGCCACAGTGCAGAGCCACTACATCTAAAAAGCTTTTTAGGTTATGAAAGCACACCCAAACTGTAACTGTTTTTCCTTCAACACATTGTCTTTTCACTACTCAATTCACCAGCACAAATAATCAGGGAAAAATAATAGCTGGAGTATTCCCAGGACAGAATCCCTGGGGAGTCTCTGCCAACCCTTCCAGAACTTTCTGCACTGCAGAGATGGCACATTGACCAGATGAACTGTGTCACCCTGGGAAGAGAAACACCAAAGGCTAAGCTCTGCCCTTACCCCTTCAGCTCTTCAGGGCCTCACAAAACCCCAGGATGGGAGAGGTTCAGTGGGACCACAGGGGTCATCTGGCCCCAGATCATCCTACCACACATGGCATAGGATGGCATCCAAATGGTTCTGAAATATCCCCACTGAGGGACACTCCTCAACCTCTCTCAGCAATCTATTCCATGCGCAGCCACGGCACAGTAAAGAAGTTCTTCCTAATAGTCAGGGGGAACTTCTGGGCATCAGTTTCTGCCCATTGCCTCCTGTCCTATAGTTCTGCACCAGTGGGCACAGCCTGGTCCATCCTTTAGGCACTCTTCTTTTAGATACTTATACTCATGAATGAGGTCTCCTCTCCGCCGTCTTTTCTCGAAGCTGATCAGACCCAGCTCCCCCAGGCTTTCCTACTACGAGACTCTCGATGCTCCACTCTCCCGCTGGAGCCGAGCTTTCCCCGCCCCTTCCACCCACGGCAGAGCCGCCGCGGGCTACAGCGCTCCTCCTTGAACCGCAAAGCTGCGGACACGAACCGCAAAGCTGCGGACGCTCCGGCCCTGGGAACGGGGGCCTCTCCCTCGGGCCCGCGGCTCTGCGGGGCTGGGCCGGCCTCACCTCGAGGTTGCCGGAGCCGCCGGGACAGGGACAGAGGTGGTGCCGAGGCCGGCAGGAACCGCCGCCGCCTGATGACGCGCGGCCGCCCCATGACGCGGAGCTTCCCTGGGCCGCGCGGCGGCGCCGCCTCCGTGGTCCCGCAACTGCGGAGATTCGCCCCGAAACCAGCGCCCCACACGCACACCCGCAGCGGGCGGGTGACGGGCACATGGCGGCAGGCAGGCACCCAGCCCAGAGCGCTGCCGGCGGCGGCCGCCCTCACACAGAGAGGCCGCAGTGACGCCTCCCCACCCCGAGGCCGCGGGGATGGACGCGGAGCGCGCTGCCGGCCGGGACAGCGCCGAGGGAGGAAGAGGAGGACTGGGTGACTTTGTGTCCGCCCTTCCTCCCGAGATCATCTCCCGGATTTTCAGTGGGCTGGATGTCGAGAGCTTGTGCCACGCGTCCGTGACGTGCAAGGTCTGGCACCGCGTCATCGACAGCAACGAGCGGCTGTGGCGGCACCACTGCCTGGCCGTGCGCGCCGTCTGCCAGCGGGAGATCGACTGCGACCGAGGGAATGGCTATTCCTGGAAGGTAAATCCACCTCCAGCGGCTGAACACCGGCAGTGACATAATCGAGAATGCTGGGGGCCAATAGAAAAGTGTAAGGAAATGACATCCTGTCACACCCATCCCAGGGTTGTGAGGGGGACGGCTGCGGTGACAGCGTGGCTCGGTAGCGCATCCTGACAGACGGACATCTGGTAAAATACACTGGGACATAAAGCAGAGCTGTCCCTTTTCCTACCCAGGACACAACCTCTTCGGCTCGGCATTAGTCCTCCTGCTGCCCCGCACAGCCTCAGCGCTGACCTTCGTCATACACAAGCCCTAACACGAGACAAAACCCACGTTCCCACCGATAGGGCCGGCAGGGACTAGGTAACAGAACTCCGATAGGTGGTGTGTGCTCTCTGGTTTTATTTTGTGGGAATAGATGTGCTGGTTAGGAATGTCTTCCTGAAAAATTATCCTGGATAGTGCTGTCTCAATCCACCTCAAGTGATGCACATTCAGAAGGCAAAAAAATGGGGAATAAAAAAGGAAATGAGCAGGAGCTTTTATAAACGTTTTAGAAACTCTCCCCACACACAGACTACTCTGAGGAGTTTGCAGCAGGTTTAGCCCCAGAACTTGCTGAATGATCTCTCACAGTTGAACTCAGCCTGGAAGTTGAGATAGATCAGGACCTGATCAGGTAGACCAGATAGGTGGTTCCACGGATTACTCGGGGCCAGCTATAGGATAGTCTCCCACCTTATTTTAGTTGTGTGTTTGAGAGCACTGGAGGGGTGAAAAGAGAGAAGCAGCAGCAAAAGAAACAAAAGCAGCCGCTAGAATCTGACATTTCGGTAAAGTTTCTGCCGTGTGAGGCACAGCCGTGAGCAGATGGTGGTTACCCTTTCGGTGTGTAGATCTTGCTGCCCTTGCACAGCAATTTCCAGAGCTCCCTGCACTGATTGTCTGTTTTATCTGGAAGGGATTTGAAATAGAAGCTACAAACACACCAAGTCTACATTTTCTTGCCCTTAAAGGCTGGCAGAAGAGAAGAACCCAGACAGCCTCCAAAGTAAAGAAAGGTCACAGCCTTTTTTAAGGTCACACCTTTTTTAAGGTGCCTTTTTTAAGCTGTAAGACAAATTCCTAGTATGGGTTTTTCATCTTGACCACCAAAGAATTGAGGCAGGAACAGAAAAGTTCTGCTTCTTGGCAGCATTGCCCTTTCCTGGATTTAATGTCTAGATATCCAAAGGCACATTCCAAATCCCTTTTCTAGCACTACTCTTCTAGTGTAAACTTACTATATTGAATGAAATTTAAATTGGTTCCTTTCCGAGATCTGACTATGTGTTTTTCCACCAGATTACATTGTTGAGAAACTACTGGAAAAGCAAAGTGAAGCAAGAATGGCTTAGTGGGAAATACAGCAACATTCCTTCACAATTCAGTTTGCCAGAGAAAAGCATGTATCCAATGGATGTCGACACGTGGGGAGAAATCTTGGAAGCAGAACTTGAGAGATGATAAACCACTGCTGATTCCTGCAACTCAGATAGCTTTTGCCAATAGCAGACACACTGTTCAGCAGTTGTGAAACTGATTTTGAACTGATTATGAGTTTATGATGAAAACTTCCCCAAAAAAACGTTATGAGTGTCTTTTTTTAATTTGCATTTTACTGTATTAATTTTATGTAACATTCTAAAAACAACTAAATATTCAGCTGTAATTTATATTTATAATTGTAATGTTCTACTGCACTGTCAAAAATATGCTGATTATAATTTCTGTTTGCACTTTTTGTTTTGGAAGAGATGATTTTTATATTAAAAAAACCAAACAAAAAAAAAAAACAAAAAAAAACCCCAAAAACCAACCAACCCCCAAAAACCCCCAAGGTGTGTTTGACCTTTCAACATGGAGTGTACCGTATCAGCAGCACATGAGAGCCCACAAAGGAAGGCTGGGGAAGGGACAGATCCAGACACCGGAAAGAATCCTCTGCGCAGCAACGCTCCATTCCCCTCCGAGCTGAAAGTGAGAGAGAGAGACCAAGGAGCTGAGCCCAGCCCCTCACCCCCTGGCTGCATCTCTGCCCTTTCCAAGGAAAAAAACCCTCACCTATGAGACTGCAGCCAGCTGCTCCCCCTCCCTCTTGGCTACATGTTTTGTCTCTCTTAAGTGCCATCGTTATCTTTTCTTAGGCAACAGATGGGAAAAAAATCCCTGAGATAAAAAGGGGAAAGAAAAAGAAAAAAGAAAAATCATAACCTCCAACAAGTGTAACTCAGAGTAAAGAGCATTCCTAAATATAGAGGATGTAGCAGAAAAATCAGTGAACTGCAAACACTGCTTCCAGTATTGTTAGCTGTTCTGCTCCAAGATTATATCTAGTTAGCTCAAATTAAAAAAAAAAAAAAGGCATACCCAAGTACATTGAGGGTACTGCTTCACTCCCTGCTCACAGTATGTTTTACCCTGACTTAAGAGAGCTAGAAGTGCAAAAAGTGCATCTAAGTTAATCAAGATGAAAACAATACTAGCAGAACATTCTCATCACCTCAAATCTGCCCATTTTTTTTTTAATCATAGCATAAGGAAACTGCTCAATAATGGATCTAGTTCCTCACTTTTCTCATCCAGCCTTCAATGTTACCTCTAGTCTGTAACTCCCTGACATTTATCCCCTATTCCTGCTCCTTTCATGCCCTTATGCTGTAAATTCTCATGTACTTGTCTCAGGATACAGTTTGTAAATAGAATAATATTCAGGTATGAATCCTAAAACAGTTACTTCACTGTGCACTTGGCTGTAGCTTTTCCGCACTCTCAAATGAGAATTAAGAATCCCCAGTATCTGCTGGGTCTCTGCCTCTATTCAGATCAAATGGCTGTGCCTCTTTAAAAGCAAGGAATTAAACATGCAGCTATGCAATTACACAAGGCCTGCATCTCTAAAGCTGTAGTACCAGTGGTGTATATTTCTTGTGAAAAATCTATTAGTGAGAAAAAAAATATTTAAGTACAAATCCACATAAAAACAAAGTCTTCTTCCTCTCCCTACTCTGACTCTTTCCTTTTGTAGTGTATGGTAGAGATAATTCATGCTATATATGTATAAATATTGTAAAAGTCCGAAGTTTTTGACCACTCTGACTGGGAGCAGAGTCTTATTTCCATTCAATCAGTTCCCGGACAACATTAAGATAATATCGAGTCTGTTAACGTATGAATGAAACATTTCTGGGCCGTGGTTGCTGACTTCCCTGGCATCTGCACCTGGGAAGATTGCATCTACACCTTCCTGGACCATGATTGCTGGAATGTCTAAGCTACTCACCAGACCTGCACGGAGAAGATTACATCTGCTGTGCTCTAGAACTCTGCTACATATGAATACAGACTCTACCTAGATGCTCAGACATCCGACTGGATCCCTGGACCTTCCTTTGTCTGTTCCTGCACATGTATGGATTCAGTTCTACATGTGAAGAGACACAAAGAAACATTCGGTCATCCCTGCCTCATGCAGAATAAACTCTATATAAGCTAGCTGCTTGAAGCATTCCAAGTGAACCACTGGGGAAACGCTGACACTTTGTCAGTCGGATCCTGGTTCACCCAGCGCCGACACCCGGGGTTGATGCTGCCCGAGGCTGTGGAGGTTTTTTCCTCAAAATTCTATTTTGTTAACGATCTAAGAAATCTTTGTTATTTTTTTTATAAATTTGGCTACCGATTTTATCATTTATAACACTTTAAGGGTTTTAATTCCCTCTGGAGATTTCATTACATCAATTCTGGTCATCTATTCTACTCCTCTCTGCCCCTGCACCATCTACTCAGCCTCCCATCTCTGCTGCAGGATGGATGTGTGCCTTTCCCTTTAAGGACATCCCAGCAGCATCCAGCGGTGCACTCCTTGCACCACCTGGTTTGGGCTCATCTCTTGCCCCTTCCATCTGCTAACAGAAGCCACTGAAAGCCAGAAATAGGAAGATTGTACCAATGCCTAAATTAGCATTCGTATGTGGGTGTCCTTCCCCAGAGAGCATGCTCAGCAGCTAAAACCACGCATGTAAAGCCCACACCACCTGGGGCACACATTAGCTGCCCTCACACCTTGGCTGGTGAAGCTCTTTTTCCACTCCAGTACTTACCTCTTACCCACACGTTTTTGCTGAAGTGCAAAGTTCTGCTTTTGCAAACCCCACTGACCTTCCATTGTCATGCCATTTTTATGCCTCTGACATTTGGAAGGTGTCAGCTGCAGAAAGGTGCCTAGGGTGTCCATCACCTAGGCTTTCCATTAGCCACCTGTGATGCCTCAGGTTTTAGCTTTTATATTTTTCTGATTCCGTACTGCTTTAGAGTGTACTTCTGAGATTCATATTAGGGGGTAGTAGGCTCTCTTCACAGAGTAGGTAATTCACAGAGTAGGTAAAACAAAACAATTCCTTGTCCAGATGGAGACCAAGGACACATGATCCAAATTTCAGGCCCAAGAGCATAAACAACAGTGGACTGAAGAGAGAAAAACAAG